ACTTACTTACTGACTTACTGACTGACTTACTGACTTACTGACTGACTTACTGACTTAGTGACTTACTTACTGACTTACTGACTTACTGACTTACTTACTGACTTACTTACTTACTGACTGACTTACTGACTTACTTACTGACTTACTGACTTACTTACTGACTTACTTACTTACTGACTTACTTACTTACTGACATACTTACTTACTTACTGACTTACTTACTTACTTACTTACAAATAACAGAATTGGAATCCTGAGCCCACCAAACCGGTCTCCCTCAGCCCTCTGGCTGCACCAAGAAATTCTGTCCGCAAAGGTTATGAACAGAATCAGTGACAAAGGGGAGCCCTGGCAGAGTCCAACTCCCACCCTGAAGGGGTCCAACTTAACAAACTGCAAACCAAACTCTCGCAACGCTTGTATAAGGACTGTCTAAGATATGAAATATGGATTAGATATGGCTTTTCATAGGCATAACCCACATACTCAATGCTATTGCTCAATCCAGGAATGCATTTTTCTAACAAATGAGGGCACCATTTAAGGAGAAATAAACAGGCCTTTTAAAAGCATTACATTTATTGCCAAGAAGCGTTATTACGATGAAGAGATAATCAAYCAAACTCGATCAAATTTTCTTAACTTTTTGTGCTAGGTTTATTTATTGAAAACCTTTCCTGATATCAAATTAAGGTAAATGAAAATGTAAAAAAAATCAGTTAAATCGATTTAATCAGTATATTATACATTTAGTCTTCTATTTGTTTTCAGGTGATGCTCCTGAGGAACCATGGGCTGCTGGCTTTAGGAGAAACAGTAGAGGAAGCTTTTCACTATGTGTACCACTCACAGCATGCCTGTGAAATCCAGGTATTTTTCTTTATTAAGCCTCTGTCAGCTGTAGGCCYGAGTATGGCCTTTAAGGTAGTTGAGTTTGACATTAATAAATCAAATTASTTTGTTCATATTTTACCTTTATTACATATTTTTATATAAACGACGCAAGCTCGCAAGATCTCAGTGCCTGTAGTGAATGCACAGCTGATGTCTGGCTGGCAGGAGATTTGATCAAATCKATGTCAAATATGTGCATAAATGGCTGGTTTTGGAGCTGTATTTAGTTTAGAAAGACATTTTATATGAGCTSTTTGTTTTCACTTTTCGAAGAGAATGTTTACCATATTTGCAAGTGTCAATAATTTTGTRTTTTGCGCACGCATGAGAAGCAATCTGTAACTTTTTACAAAACGTTAATGTGACACAGTAGAATAGAATTTACCTCGTCAAACRTCCTTGCTTTAGGTGAACTCTCTGAGGTGTTCAGGTGGCGCGGACAACCTCGTGCTCCTGGACAAGGAGAAGTTCAAGCCCCTGACSCAGGGAGTGGCCGCCGCCGGGGTGGTGATAGACAACGAGGTCAAGTGGAAGGTGGGCGAGGCCGAGTTCGAGTCRGTCATGAGGATGCTGGACAACCTGGTGAGTGATCCCTGACCTGTGACCTTTCTCCGTCGGGCCTGAAGTTTCCCGTCTCAGGCGGCTCCTTCAGGAAGCGTGTGATTAGAGGAGACAATGAAAATGAATTTGTCCGTCCGAATCTGACAGATAATTTGTGTAATCAAATCCGATTGTTTCCTGACTGCAGTCTGTGTTGGACTTTCTCCCCGTACAGTCAGTTCATGTTTGCAATTACTGCGCTGAGTTAAATGGACATCAACTTGCAGCTAACGGGCTGTCTGCTACAATGGCTGCAGCWATTGCACACCCTGCTCGTCTAACCGCACTGATAATGACAAGGCTCCGGCGTGTTCTGTGGACAGAGGAGATGTCACACTGTCTCTTTGAGTGGGCTTCTCGCTAACAGCTGTGGCTGGAGCAGACTGCGGCTGTGTTAACTCGGTGCAATCATTACTCATCCATCCTCTCAATCATAGCTTTCAGATGGGAAGGCTTGCTCTGGGCAGTCACGCAGACCTCACAGTAACTGGAAGTCCACTCAGCTTGGACTTATTTTTTCAAGACTTCTTAGGAATAAACTACAAGATGGGTTACTTTGACTTGTAATAGTGTTTCGATAAAATTTGCAAAGAAGTCAATTCAGTTCGAGTTTGACAAATCTTGCAGTTTTACAGCCATATTTATCCCTTTCTGTGTGACCTACCAGGGCTACAGAACAGGTTACTCCTATCGCAACCCGATCGTCCGTGAAAAACCCCGCTCTAAGAATGACGTGGAGATCCCCGCCACAGTATCAGCCATGCCGGCTGAGGACAGTGAGCTGGGTCTGCGCAGCCCCTTAAAGTTTATGGCGCAGAAACAACAGAGGGAAAGGACTCGGTGGCTCAACTCGCCCAACAGCTACTTGAAGGTCAATGTCCCTGAACAGTCACCCAGCGGGGAAGTCAGCCCCAGATCCAAAATCATGGTGAGTTGATTTTTATGTCCAACTGTAGCAAGAAATTTCCTCATCTTCATTCCCCTGCTTTAAACAGCCGAGGAAACGTTACCTTTAAAAGCTGCTTTTCCTTTGTGTTTGTGTGCCCTCTTGTGGCTGTTTTCATTAAAACATGTTTAAACTGCGGCGTCACTCTTTATCTTYTCAGTGGATGAAGTCGTCACAGCCWGGCAACAGCGTTGGCACCCCAATAAAAATCGAGGACCCCAACCAGTTTGTCCCACTTAACACCAATCCTTCTGAGGTTTTGAGTAAAAGGAACCGGGTCAGTTTTCTTATTTCACACTACTGCCTTTTTGTTTTTTTCTATTCCTCTCATTCAGCTGAGACTTCAATGAAAAAACACGGTTTATCTAAGTCCACACAGAATTCTAATAATGTGAAAAATTTATAGCTTTGTCACCAGTTAGTCAGACATTTTTATTTAGTAACATAAAATCAATACAAATTCAATTCATTAAGACTTAAATCGACTAAATATTCAGTTCAGTATGAAATCTGACAAAGAAAAATGGGTAAATATGCATCATTTTGCATAATAAAATGCAGTTTTGTTTTTGCTTGTTATGACTAAGTACTGTTTTAGTGATACCTATGAATGCTATAACAGTTTTTCAGGCATTTACTTGTTTCCATTACACCTGTTTCTATTTACGCTAAATAAAACACCATAGCTAACATCTCAGCTTTGACCCAGTAACAGTTGGTATCACTTTCAACACAAGTCTGAAGTGGACACAGTGTTAATAGACAACTTACTCAAAAAAAAATTTAAATAAAATAAAACGTGGATCCTAATGAGTGCCTATATAATAAAACAGATAGCTGTTTTTACTTCCTTTTGTGGATATAATCTGATATCTATATTTTAAAATATTTTGATGACTTTTATTTCCTCGAAGTAGTGAATAATCCACTAGATTAACAATCAGGCACATTTCTTGCTCAATCTTCAGTCTTAATTTGACATACCCTCTGTTTTCTGAAGAATCCTTCATATTGTTTCTTGATGTAGGATTTGCCTCCAGCAAACCACTGGATGTCATACAAAACAACAGATGTCACAGCAAGACAAAATTTAAACCAAATAGCCAAAATAACCAAAAGCGGTGAGGTATGTTAAAACTTTTTGAACCATTTTTAATATGTTTCAAAATATTTCTGTGTAGATAAAAGAGCAGCACAGAGGTGATCAGATGACTGCAGGACCAAAATCACAATTGCTAGCAGGCATTGTTGTGGACACCATCCCAGGACCAGTAAGTACATTCATGTAAAGTCACATTTGCTGTCACACTCAGGCTGTGTCCAAAACGGCAGGACGGGTCCTCCGAAGGTCGAATTCGTCRGCCGCATACGTCACAGCGCCGCGACGAAGGACGTCCAAAACCGAAGACTCCTCCGATGCGGCCGACAAATACGTCCTTCCTTTGGCCCGAATCGAAGGACAGGTCCGATGGATCCTTCCCGGCCCAGCATATCCCATAATGCATTGCGGCCCGACCGGAGATTTTTTTATGCTAGTAATGGCGGACGAAGCGAGAGAAAATAATACATTTTAAATAAAAATATGGTGATATAAAAATTTTAAAAAATTAGCGGTTGTAATTCTAATACTTTTATCATTTGTATGGACATGTTTTTAAATATTATTTTTTCGTCATAAAAAACGCGAAATAAACATGAACCTACAGCGGGTCAATTAGTTCTTCAAATGATACCTTTAAGTTAATTTTATAGTTTTGTGATATTAATAATGCTAATGTATTGATATTTTTCTAGTTTTGATTTAAGTTTGCTTGTTTAGCGTCGTCACAGTTGCTAGGTGACATGACGTACGCCGGGGTAAGGAGGGGAGGCTAGACCGACCAAATTCACAGCCTCTTTTTTTCCGGTCTTCCCGGTCTACCAAGGACCCGGCCCGCCGCGACCGGGTAGTCTGGGTCCTCCGGAGGACCCGGCCTGTCGTTTTGGACACAGCCTCAGTGATGCAGAATGTGTTGCTTTGCATTTACTGTTTCTTTTTTTTTTTTGCTCAAACTGAACATTGTTGTCCCTAAGGCAGAAGAAATGCTAAGCCAAAACCACATATCTGTTTAAAAAATGTATGTAAGAAAAACAATGAAAATCACATCACACGCAAGCTAGAAATACTGCATTTTTTTCAAAAATGCAATGTGGATGCAGCTTGAGGTGAGGGGGAAAGAACAGAGTTGTTAAGTGTGAAGAGAAGATGTTGGGATTTGGAAATGGAGGTTTTTTGTCCCAACAAGGAGGAGTTCAGTTTTGTTATTGTTTAGTTGGATGAAATTATTGGAGAACCAGTTGTTGAGCTCACTGAGGCAGTCGGTAAGAGTGGAGGACGGTAAGGTGGAGTTCGGTTTTGATGAAATGTAGAGCTGAGTGTTGTCGGCATAAGAGTGGAAATGAACACCAAATTTACAGAAGATGTGGCCAAGCGGAAGCAGATAGATTATAAAAAGTAGAGGTCCGAGCACAGAACCTTGGGGAACACCAGTGGAAATGGGTGAAGACTGGGAACAGAAGGACTTGAGCTGTATGAACTGAGTGTGGTCAGAAAGATAGGATTTAAACCAGTCCAGTGGGGTGTCTGAGATGCTGATAGAGGTCTGTCGATGAGGAAGGATGAGAGATGGTGTCAAAGGCAGAGCTCAAATCAAGGAGGATGAGTATTGACAGCAGTCCTGAGTCAGCAGCAAGGAGAAGATCATTAGTAATTTTAATAAGAGCMGTTTCGGTGCTGTGATGTGGTCAAAAACCTGATTGAAACTGCTCATAGAGGTTATTTGCTGGAGAGGTGTGAGTGAAGCTGATTAGCGACAACCTTTTCAAGAATTTTGGAGATGAAGGGCAGATTAGAAATGGGACGGAGGTTATTGAAGTTAGTCGGATCTAGACCTGTTTTCTTTATGATGGGGGTGATGGCAGCCTATTTGAAAGCTGTGGGAACAGTACCAGTCGTCAGAGAGGAGTGGATGATGTTAGTGATGATAGGAAGCAGAGAGGGGAGACAGGATTTAACCAAAGCTGTGGGGATGGGATCTAGCTGTGAGGAGGATCTGCAGGAGGAGATTTCCGAATGACTGCTGAWATCTGCTAAAGAATCTTAAAAGCTGTTAAAGCTAAAATATGCCAGCTAAAAGACAAAAACAGCTAAACATTAGCTAAAGACAGCAAAATATAAGCTAAACCCATCCAAAAGTCACTTAATATAGTCAGAGAAAAAGCTAAATTATCAAAAGATTAGCTAAAAGCTATGGATATCAAAGAGTAGCTGAAAGTTTCTAAAAGTTAGCAAGAAGCTAATATTTCCAAAAGGCTGTCTGAAAGCTAATAGGAGCAAAATGCTAAAAGGCTAAAAGCTTATAGTAACAAACAGCAAGCTAAATCCAATAGAAGAACAGTAGCTAAAAGTAGGAAAAAAAGCTAGCAAAATATGAAAGTAGTACAAGAAGACAAAAAATGGGTTTAAAAAATAACTACTTTTTGAAGGAATTCAAAATATCCCATGAAATTTGTAAGGAAAATGTTTGTAAAAATGTGAATAGTGTACAAGTTTTAAAAAATAGCATAGCAACCATCTTCTGAATGAGCTGAACATTTACAGTATGAATGGCCAAAGTGACTCAAAGAAGAAAGTTAAAATGCTGAATCAGCATTCACACAGTAAAMACTGCTTTTTAAAAGGTCAACATGACTAAATCCAAAGACACATAGTGCGAAATAAATGTGTTGTTCTGGATTTTTTTGTTTAAATAARCGACATTATCCTGTGATTAAATTAACATTGTGCGTCTTCCAGGCTTTCATCTATGAAGATGAGGAGCAGACCCGCTCACTTCCACCCAATCCCTTCAATGAGCTAACAGAGAAGGTTCTGGAAGAATACAAGAGCATCATAGAAAGAAAAAAGCAAGGCCAGGAAGGTCAGACTCTTTTCTTACATTTCTTTTTTTCCAACAGCGTCATTAGCATGTTGTCTAAACAGTTTTATTTATCCATCTAGAGTTGTTAATTTCTGCCTGGAAGAAATTTTAGGAGTAGATTAACAGAAACGAAAAGCTTCCAGAAAAAAAAAAAAAAATGCCACTGGGACTCAGCTGTCAGTCCACAGTTTCTCTGTTCCTCTGCGCTGTGAAGTCAGCTCACAGGATGGTGAGAGATGAGCTGCAAAGACTTCAGTCTTGTCATATTTCTCATGTCTTGGTTATGATGGTTTCCAAGGATGAAACGTGTGTGTGTGTGTGCGTGTGCGTGTGTGTGTGTGTGTGTGTGTGTGTGTGTGTGTGTGTGA